CATCCCTGACCCTCATGTTTCCAAAACACTACGTAAATACCACACGGCCACTTGTCTTTACTTTGGGTCTTCTGTGCTCAAGACCTTCAAAACTGTCCTGACCTTGGGGCACCAAGGTGGCTCAGTCGGTTGACGTCCAACTTTGGCTCAGGTCACGATCTCGTGGCTCATGGGTTCAAGCCCCCCATCAGGCTCTGTGCTGACAACTCAGAGCCTGGAGCCTGCTTCGGATTCTGTGTCTCCTTCTCTCTCTGCCCCTCCCTCGCTTGTGCTCTGTCTCCCTCATTCTCAAAAAAATGAATAAATGTTACCAAAAAAAAGTCGTGAGATGGGAAGAGACTCTTGTCTGCTCTGGGGCTGACACTCCCTGCTGAGGGGACTGATTCTGGTTTGTGCTAATACTGTGATATGGCATACAGTGATAGCTGAGTACTCTCGGGACTCTAAGAATCGTATGCATTGTTTACAACATGGTTCTATTTTCATAAGAGGAGGTGCTAAGAATGACACATTGGGGGCACCTGGGTGGCTCAGTAAGTCAGGCATCCAACTTTGGCTCAGGTCTGAACTTGCGGTTTCTGAGTTCGAGGTCCATGTCTGGCTCTGTGCTGTCAGCTCCGAGCCCACTTCAGATCCTCTGTCACCCTCTCTCTGCCCTTCCCCCATTCACAGGCATTCTCTTTCAAAAAATAAAAAAAACAAATGACATTGGACACCCGCTTTCAACTCCATCCCCTCCCCTCCATCAGCTCTAGATGAGCTCAGCCTTGCCTGAGTTCATGGTCCCCTTTCTCAATCATTTTGTTCAGTCCCACGGCTTTCAATATCATTTTCTTGGACTTCCAGGGAAGAGGGCACAGGAGGAGGATCCCAAGCTCACATAATGACACAGATACAGCAAGATAACACCCACCTCAGTGTAAACAACCCAGAAAATGACCTGAAGCCTAGCAGAACAGACTCATGACAGCTACATGTAGAGAAGAGGCACTTCTCTACATGTAGGGTAGGAAGAGCAGAGACATGGTTGGCAATTAACCAGAGCCCCAGGACTGTCCTGGGAGAGAAACTCCATGGGCGTGGACCCTCACACCAGGGACCCAAAGCACAGGGGGACTCACACACGGAAGACAAGGCCCATAACGTCTGGCTTTGCAAACTAGAGGGGCAGAATTTCTTGAATTATTACCATCAGTAGAGCTTAAACATTAAACTCAGCAGGGATGACTCTGGAGAGCTGGAGGGTGAGGAGACAGAGTCCCCGCCTTTAAAGAGACAGCATAACACATAGTCCTGC